CTCAGCATCTTCAACCATCGGTAGGTTGAGCCCTACCAGTTGGTTGGAGATGCTGTGCCTCAACCAACCCAGAGGGCCCTATAACAGAGTTTCCTCTCACGACGGTCATATTGTTGCCAATGGTCTAAAATAAAAAATAGAGATCCCTCTGAGTCGGCCTGCAAAGCCAGCACAAAACAAGCAAACACCGCAGGACCTGTGCGCAACACCAGGAGTGCCATGGACCTCCCCCTGACGAGACCTGCAGAATCAGATGACCACGTAGTCCTACAGCAAGGCCACTGCACGTACTATCCCAAAGTACTCCACAAGATCTCCACGAGACACCAGGAGCGCTACTGCTAAGAACACCCTAGAAGATTCCCCGTGTCACGCACCCTAGAAGATTCCCCGTGTCGCGCTACTGCTAAGAACACCCTAGAAGATTCCCCGTTTCTGCCACATGCGGCCGAAAGAGCAGCCCATGGGCATGACACCCGCAGCAAACACTCTCTGAGCTTCCTCGCAAAGATACCGTGGCCGAAACTCCAAACAGTCATCCCCACGCCCAAAAACACTTGTGGCTGTCCACAAACATTCTCCTTCATCGAAAAGACAGCCGATGTATAACAACATCCACAAAAGAAAAATCGCTCACTAGTAAGAGCCCGATCCTAACAAATCTGCCAGTACAGAGAGCTAGCAAGACTGGAATGTGTGTTTCTAAGAAAATCCAAATTCTCTCTCTCTCTCTCTCTCTCTCTCTCTCTCTCTCTCTCTCTCTCTCTCTCTCTCTCTCTCTCTCTCTCTCTCTCTCTCTCGTTCCATCCACGAGTCATCAGAAACCATCCAAAAAACAAAAGCAAGTATAGATAGACAGTATAGTAGAAGATGCAAGGTTGGCCACGTTTGTGTGGTTCAGCATGGCACACTTGCACAAATATATATATATCGTCAAATAGAACTGCCCGGTAAACCGTAGGCAGAGAGGGAGAAGAGGACAACAAACGAGGGGCGGGATAATCTAAGAAAGAAGGGGGGGGCATAAGACAACACCCTTACACAGCGACAATCACACAACCACAAAAAAAAAATAAAAAATTGCACCATAACACAAAGAAGGCTCCACTAACAGGAAAGCAACGAGCTCCTCCGCCAATGGTCTTAAAAAAATAGAGAGCCCTCTGACTCGGCCTACAGAGCCACCACAAATCATGTGTGTGTTCTTTAGATTCTCACCGCACAGCCCCCTGTTCCACCCAGATGAGTTTATCCAAAATCGAAGGAGCTTCACCTCTACTGCACACAATGAAGCACACTTGAGATGAACCAAGCCAACAAGGAAACAGATCTACCTCTATAGCAAGCTGCTGCAACAGATGCTGCAGCAGCAGCAGTTGTGAACTGCTGCTGCAGAAGTGCCTGCTGCAGAAGTGCCTGCTGCAGAAGTGCCTGCTGCAAATGCTGCTGCAGGTGCTGCTGCAGAAGTGCCTGCTGTGCACTGCTGCTGCAGGTACTACTGCTGCCGCAGGTACTACTGCAATCACTGTTGCAGCAGTGCCTGCAGCAAGCAACCGCTGCTGCAGCTGCTGCTGCAACCACAGCTCCAGCTGCTGCAGCTGCTGCAGCTGCTAGACCCTGATTTATTTATTTTTTTAATCTCCAAATGGGCTCAGTTTTTATCGCAGGGTCCCAGCAGCAAGCTCAGCAGATGGTGCCACGTGTCAGGAGACATGTGGCCCTCCAGATTCGTCCAGAACCGGATGTCCGGGATCCCTGACAACTGAGGCCCTGTACGTCAGGGCCAAGTGAATCCGAGCATCATCGTTCACTTGGCTACATAGATATCCACGATCAAGCTTCTCTCATCTTTGCCAGTGAGGCTACGCCCGCACGGGTGAAAGACATCAATGACATACCCAGTGTCTACATAAGTATTCATCTGCAGATTTCACGATCGAGAATCTCTCTCTCTCTCTCTCTCTCTCTCTCTCTCTCTCTCTCTCTCTCTCTCTCTCTCTCTCTCT